TGTCCTCCATAAACGAGGATTCATGGAGATGGATCTTTCGACTGAATCTCCCACTCACCGCAATAACAACCCTGTGCGTGCTGTTCTTCATGCCTCTGCGGAAGGTAACAGGGGACTGGAAGATGAAGCTCAAAGCCATTGATTTCTTCGGCGCATTCCTAGCATTAGGAAGTACCGCCGTTCTCCTTTTAGGTCTGACATGGGGCGGAGGTGAATACCCTTGGGCTTCGGCCCATGTCATTGCCACAATTGTGGTGGGTTTTGCTGTGGCTGTTGGGTTTGTGGTCTGGCAGTGGAAAGGAGCAACCTACCCGCTCGTACCAATGCATATATTCAAATCTCGGATTGTGAATGGTGCGTGTCTGACTATGTTTATAAACGGGTGGAACTTTCTCGTCCAGGTTTATTATATCCCGACGTTCTATCAGCTAGTTTTTGGGTATTCTACTGTGAAAGCTGGTGCGATGCTTTTGCCTGTAACATTGATGCAGAGTATGTCTTGTTCATATCCCTTATTTGGACAATTTCAACTGACGAAGATAAAAGCTGTTAGTAGTACCGTCTCAGGTCTTGTTGTCCACTGGGTAGGCCGTTATAGGGAGTGTATTCTCTTTGGCTGGATGATCTGGGCCGTTGGATTAGGTTTGTTCTCGACTCTAGATGAATCATCCGGCCTGGGAAAACAAATTGGTTATGGACTCTTGACCGGTGTTGGTGTGGGGAATACATTGCAACCGTAAGTCTCGAATATGAATAATGTGCACAGGGGTAATCTGATACTGACCTGTTCCAGCGCCCTGATCGCCGTCCAAGCAGGAGTTGAACGGAAAGATATGGCAGTTGTTACTTCATTCCGAAAGTATGTTTACCACGACCTCACCTCTCGATTAACCAAGTTACCGAAGAATAAAACAGACTAACAAACACAGCTTCGTAAGGAACCTCGGTGGCACGCTCGGCCTCGCCATCGCCGGAACCATCATGTACGCACCGACAGTCGCAACTCAAATAATGGAACCCAGCTAACCCTTGCTTCACAAATAGAAACAATCTAATCACAAGCTCTATCTCCTCCCTGGGCCTCACGCAATCTGAAACCCGCTCTTTTCTATCAAGCCCTCAGAACTACCTCTCCAAACTGCCCCAAGAGGAAGCAGAACATGCACGATCTCTGTTGATCCCGGCTTACCAAAAGGGGTTCCGGATTATATTCCTTATCGGCGCCGCATTGGCTGCTTTTGCATTTGTTTTGGCCTTTTGGCTGATGCCTCAGGTGGCTTTGAATCGGGCGGATGATGAGAAACTGAAGGAGGAGGGAAGGAAGAGGGTAAAGGGAGAGAGAAATAGTGATGAGGAGGTTAATGAAGATGAGAGAAGGTGATCGACTGATTGAAAAACTGGTTTAAACGGTCTTTGATTTCATTCTGTTATAGACTTGTAATTTGCGATGTGCTAGATTTCCTACACCGCTGAAGGATCTATGTGTATATGGTAGCTGTTGGGTCATATTTTCTTTGAGAAAGAAAGCTACTAAAAACCCTTTCCATTCAAGATATTTGCTCAACTGAGTTTTAGCCTGTTGAAGCAAGGCCTTCCATACCTGTATCAGATTGTCTACACTGCTTTCATTGTCCTGAAAACGTTGATATGGTTCTTTAAGTGTTGTAGTTCCGCCAAGAGCATCGCTTCAATGGACATATACTAGTCAATCTTCAGAATTGGAGCATAACGCATATCCGGCCCCGTCATCTCTTGGGCTTCCAGCTGCTGCCCCAGTGCCACTGCCTGAGCATTGATCTTGGAATAGAAATTCAACGCTATATTGGCGGTCACTGAAGCAACATACGAGCAGATAGAACTAGCAATGGAAGTGTTCCCCCCAAAAAGCGCTAGAGCAATGCGTAACTGCGTGTTGAGACTCGCCTGTAAATCTTCATCCACCGCTCGAATATAATCTTGTTGATACTCGAGATCGATATGATCTGGAGTGACAATCATTTTCACACCCACATTTCCCGTTGCTGGACCTAGCTCTAGGAGAAGGGGCTCCTGATCGCCCACAGACACTGAGATCGGCTGGTGGAGGATGGAAGCGTAGAGGTAAATCCAGCATATCGTTTCAGGAACTACCTTCAGATTGATGGGTGTGTCCGCGGTGAGAACCCTTGCAATAATCTGCATTGACCCGTAGGCTTCTGGAGAGATGATGATCTCTGGCTGTGTGAGTGCGAAGACATCTGTATAAGCGTACCATAGCTGGGCTGGTGGTTTCACAATCTTTGATTCATCCAAATAGATATCTCGCTCGTTGATACTGTTCTTTGGCTCGTTAATTGCGTGGCTTGAAGTAGGAATATGTCAACCTTACCTGGACGGTTTTTTGTTCCTGCTTCGAAGGAATGGATGTGATGACTTCACTCTGTACATACCTGAGCCACTCGGCTGGAGTCTTGGGCTCGGGGGGGATGCTGCTCATTTTGATGAATGGTGGTGGGATGTATCAGAATAACATGGCTAGAGGGGAATATTTCCTTTTAACGAATTGATTGCTGAAAAGGAGTCACAGACCATCACACAAATACTTTCGATCTATAAGGTTTAGTGGGTCATAGTAAGTACGCAACACAGAAATTGAGGCAGCTAATTATCCTATGAGAGCTGAAGATGTAATTTAATGGTGTTGTGACAAGAAAAATACCCCGCCTACCGCTTCGCCACAATTAAATTTCTCCGCCGCAGTCCGGAATAGAGATAAATTACTCAAAAACCTAACTGAAGGTTGTGCTTTTCCGTCGAAGATGTAATCTTTTGCCATTGCTTGAGGATGTATCACGGAAACCCCTGTTACTACAGCGGAAGAGACCAAGACTGGCGTGTGACTAAAGCCTTTTCAGCAGCATTTTTCAAAATATAATAACTAATTGTACGATGCTAGGTAGTGATATAGGTCCAATCCCTACATCACTTCAACTCTGCCATATTTGCTCTATCTCCTCCGCTGCCTTTCCCAAAAATTTGTCCCTCAGTTCCTTCATCTCCGTAGTTCTTGCCATGTGGTCCCAATAATGGGGTACCTCTTCTACAACTTCACAGTCAACTTGCTTTCCCAGCAGTTTCAACCGACGAACTGCTTCTTTCTCCTCGCTCAAGAGATAGTCGAGACCCGCGAGTTTAAACGATATGATAGGTGGCAATGCTTCTTTCAGCGAATCCTCAGGCGCAAGCCCGGGAGAGAGGTACATAAAGCTTTTATCTGGCTTTTCTTTCAGTTTCCAGAAAAAAGCCTCGTCGAAAACAGATCCGATAAGTTTTGATGAGGAGGCTGGCTTTTTCTTCAGTGCTGAGAATGCTGGATTGGATAGAGCACGCTCAGCACGGGTCTTAGTCATATCCATGACTGGATAAAAAGCCATTAATCCTTTGACGGTTCCCAGACTTGAAGGGTCAATTTGGAGATTTTTATCCTTCATCCGCTTCCAGAGCATGAGAAGGGAAGCGAAGGCAAGGTGGCCACCGGCGCTTGAACCAGAGAGAATCGTTCGATGCTTGTCAATATGTAAAGAGGCGGCATTGCGCCAGATATAAAGCAATGCGTCCAGACAATCTTCGATTGCGGCTGGGTATGGACTCTCAGGTGCTAGGCGGTAATTGACGCTTGCAACAATGGCACCGCGAGATGTCAACTCGGCAATGAAACGTTCATCGTCGCGAGCATGCCCGACGCAATAGCCTCCGCCGTGAAAGTTAACAACGACTGGGTATCTGTTTTCCTTGGAGTCGTTGCGGTCGTATCCGGGGGGGAAATAGAAAAACAGATCGAATGTTCCCTTGGAATCGGAAATTGCCGACGGGATGTTTACTCTCAGACTTGGACCAGGTGGTCGTAACGGGCCGCCTCTTCGGTCACGCCAAGCGAATAGGCGAGTTAGAAGGCGTAGGATGTATACTTTTAAATAGAAAAAGGGGCTCATCTTGATCAAGCACTTAACTGGATCTGTGTTGAGATAATTTTCAAAATGTTCAGTGCCTGACTGATGTCCGGATGTACTCTATATAGACCTCTTGGAAAGTGTACAGTCGAAGCCTCATTGCTGTATGGTCCATTCTTCAGGAGTATATTCTACTCGTCTATTTCCAACAGCAAATCATTATTATGAGATCAATAATCTTCTGCTATAGTATCTTTGCACTCAAAGTGGGACTGATACCACTGACCCACCAGGTGGGGCGGAGTCGCGGTTGCACCGAAGGCCGTTTGATATAGAAGTGGTAGGAAGTATGTATATCTTGCTCTTCGTCATTCTGTCCGTATGCCGAACGTAAGCCTCGGGAACACAGATCAGCTCAACCGAGGCTGATTAGTATTGTAGTAGAGCTGGCAAATCCTTCATCCTACACGCAAAACCAGTAAAAAGGCTGTGCTGGTTATATCATGTATTTTGCTGGTACACTAGCTCGAGAGGCATTCTTTTGCGATTTTGCAATGGAAACAAGTAAAAGATTTCTAAACCTAGTCCCTATGTTCACCATCATCCTCGCAAGAGTATTGAGAATGTCTTGCAAAACGGTGCTTGCGAACTGGTTTCCCACGGCTGATGAAGTGAAGCTTCGGTGGAACAAGCTAGCACTTTCGTTTCGGTCAAAGCTACCTGGAATAAGACGTTCGGGGGAGGTGACGAAAATAAACATTATATAAATACTGGTAGAAACCATCTAATTTGGTATGGCCTAGTTTTTGTATTCTATAGGTCCCTGGCTCAGTAACACGCACCCGTCTATTGCATTTTCATTGCTCGCTATTATCCCATGCCAGATCGGCTGAATAAGGACCTTCGACACAAAGACAGTTGAAAGCAAATAATTTAAAAGGGATTGAATAATAAGTAAGTAACAGAACCCAGAATCAATCGTGTTCCTCTCTCTAGTGATAATGCCTAGACAGCCTTTTTTTGTCTGTTCTATGATTGGGCTCTGACACATGATGAATTCGACTTCAAAAATCAGCCCTTGACTATATTGATCCAATTCTCCGCAATAGCAGAAGTTGCCATGTGTCGTATGGAAGACAGCATGTTCTTGCCAAAGTCTAGTATCACAGGACCAACAGCCCGAATGTTGTCGGTGCGGGATGCGGCGATACTCAAACTAAAGATAAGGGGTATTATCGTCCAGTATATGCCGATCCGAGACTTCCCAGGGCTCCGTGTCTGGGAATTGAATTAGCCTTTTTCTTCTTCTTTTTATCAATGAATTTCGGTAGTGCCATAAATATCATACCCGGACGTTCCAGTGTGAGTTGATTGGGAATAAGCTCCGGTACCAGAAATAGGCTTGGGACCATGGGTAGGCCATGGCATTCCAGTTTTTATCATTTTGATACCACTATATATTTGATTAGCACACAGTTTGCCCAGATGCTTTAACTTTGCAACGAAAGATAATTTACCGATTGGCAGCCAGCATTCCACACTCGCTTTTTTAATGCATCTTGAACCCTGTGGGAATATTCGTCCTCCGCTACCTGCGTTAGCTCAACGGAATCCGCTCCTTTTTCAAAGACCGGTTTCAGTACACGAAGCGCGTAATTGACAGAGCTTTTGGATGTTAGCTTGAACAAAATCTTGCTGGGTCCTTTCCCCTTAACTTACTTTTCCGCAGCCATCAACGCTGAGGTATGACCAGTTCCTGCGTTGGGCCCAAACAACAGGAAGAAATTTGGGAATCCACTCATAGCAGAGCAGTTGTAAGCTTCAGGCCCATCATATCTCTTCCAGTGGTCAGTCAGGCTCCCATCACGTCCCACAATTTCCATGAAGGGCGTAAATTGATTCGTTTTGAACCCGGTTGCTAAGACAATGACATCGGCAGCAACGATTCCATCGGAAGTTCTCACACCTTCAGGAACAATCTCAAGGATCTTGGCTGTTGTGAGAGAAAGGTTTTCACTATGAAGCGATTTGAGATATCCATCATCGAAAATTCGTCGCTAGGGACATCAGTATTTTGCGCTTTGGTCCCGATACGTTATGCAATATCAACGCACCTTGCATCCTATCTCAAAATCGGGAATCAGAATATCGTGATATTTTGCCGGCGCTGTTTCTTTCATGTACTTCTCAACCTCTTTTCTGCGCTTCTGTCTCAGTCGTGCAGCCCTCTTTGTCATTGGAAACATTCGGAAGCCATTCTCCGCAATGAGGAAAATATGCAGTCGATGAAGTTTCAATGCAAAAGGAATGTACTCAAAGATCCAATTCAGGATCTTCGGATAGGTGAAGTTGGTTGCTGGGAAGATCCAGTGTTGGGACCGAATGATCTGCGTCAAAGATTTGGTCTGCTTGACAATAGCAGGTACAATCTGCGCTGCCGTACCTAAAGAACGCAAAAAGTTAACGGATAACCATAACAGATACAAATACATCCCACTCACATCCGTTCCCGACAACCACAACTCTTTTCCCCTCTAGGCTGACATTATGATCCCATCGGGCGGAATGAATGATATCGCCTTGGAAAGACGAAGCCCCAGGGATTTCACAGGGCCGAGGTTCAGCAAAGTGCCCTGTGGCAGAAAATAGTACCTGACACTCATGTGTTGATTCTTCTCCAGTTTCGACATTGCAGAGAAAAAGAACCCATCGAGATGCATCATCTCGCCATACGCACCGTATCACCTCCGTGCGGAATGTCATCCTTTGTCTCAGATCATAAGTCGCCACAACGCCGTCCTGGTACGCTTTGATTTCTTGTTGCGAAGGCATCAACTTAGACCACTGAGCGTTAGGAGCAAATGAAAAGCTGTATAGAGCGCTAGGAACGTCGCACGCGCAACCTGAGAGAGAAATGAGTTCTGTATAAAGCGTACTACACTGAATCATATCACTCGTACTTACCTGGATAGGTGTTGATATGCCATGTTCCACCACAGTCTGTCTGCCGCTCAAAAAAGCGAATATCTTCTAAACCGTACCATCTTTTCAGCGATGCACCTAACGCAATCGCACTTGCTCCTGCCCCAATGCAAGCCACTCGGCTGTAGGATGGGAGTGCAGGGGTTGGAATTGAGCTCGAGTTTGACATTTTTGCATAGAAAATCAAATACTTTTACAATTCGGTAGATTTAGACAGTCATTGAGCTCAGCTTTCACACTTTATACGCGTAAATGTCAAATATCTGGGTCTTCTAGAAGAATAATGCCTCGGTCATCGGTAATAGAGTCCATTGTGGTATTATGGGATATCTAAGATGGTCCACTTGTACTGTGATGTGTGAAGTCAGTCAAAGCAAACGCTGAGATGTTTGATGTTTGTCTGCCCCGGAGAGATTAATGAGCCGAAGGCTTTGCCAAACTAGAAGGTTTCGCAAATCTAACTCAATTCGGCTAGTCTGGCTTTGGATCTGATCGCACCATCGAACATTAATTTCAACCTGATTACTATTCTTTCATACATGAATGGGGAATATAATTTTCAAATGATATTCCATGAGCTACATATCGACAGGTGCATTACTTTGCATGCACACGAAAATAGTGAGCAACTCTTAAATTATCCCTAAACTGTATCCTTGCATCGGCCAAGAACCTGCCGTCCAGCAATCCAACCTCTAGATTAGCTTGGATAGTACTCAGTGCCCCTTTGCCAAGGGGCCCTATTTCTCTCGCGTCGTACTCCCCCCCTTTTTTAAGGCTTGGAACCCTTTAAGTTGTAAGTGAAAACGATCACAAGCACACAGGGTGACTAGGACAGGAGACGCAGAGATGCAACCACGACGAGCATACGGGGACCCTGGTTCCACGCACACAAGTTTCGCCCCACCTAGTAGTAGATCTACTGCTCATTCTTCCATTGTTGTTCTAGAATAATCTTTTCTCACAGGCCGGCGAATGTGAGCGTGTGACCATGAACTCGGGGAATACGGCGACGCGGGTCAATTTCTGGCATTCAAGCCTAAAATAGAACTTGTGTTACATTCTTGTTGTCTTTCACCTTGATGTTTCTCATCATCAGAACCCAGCCAATGGACAAGCCCATCACAGCGGTCCCGGCAATCATCATGTTCCGTTGGCTGAACGCATACGCGTTTTGAATGGCGGTGCGAGTAGGCGAGCCCACGGGATAACTAAGCTGAACATCCAGCGACTCGTAAATATCCGCCCACTGATCCTTTGTTTCCGCTGGCAACAGCTCGCGCAGCTTCTTCGGAAGCGTGTTGGTCCAGATGGCGCCAGACACGCTACTGCCCACAGCACCGCCCACATTACCAAATACACTGAGCAGCGCCAACATGGAGGCATAGTCTTCATGCTTGGCAGCTGCCAGGACAGCCACCTGTTCAATCAAGATCATGGTGCCGCCACCGACAGCTAGGAAGATCTGGCACATGCACATGTACCCGACACTGTGACCGGGGGCGCGGAAATAGATCATCAAGCCACTGGCCAGCAGGTAGAGTGGAACGGCAAACATGAGCAGCCACTTGAACCGGCCAGTAACTCGGATAAGGTAGCCACAGCCAAGAAGCCAGATGGGGTCCATCAAGTCGAATATCGCACTAATGTAACCGGCCTGGGTGAGGCTTGTGTTGAAGACCACCTGTAGGAAAGAGGTAAAGTAGCTGGCCCAGCAGTAGTAGGAAACTTGATATGTGATATCCAGCAGACAAGCACCGATCACAGTCCGATTCGAGAGTAGCGAGAAACGAATAAATGGTTTCGGCGCTCCCCAGCGTTCATAGGCAACGAAGGCAACAAGGACACAAAATCCGACTACCATCATGGCAATTATCTTGGCCGATTTCCACTCTCCTTTGGTATTTCCGGCAATGTTGAAAGAGGTGAGGAAGAGGATCAACCCACCGATCATGAAGAAAATCCCGATGACTGTGAGAATAGTTGAAGCATGTTAGTGTGTGTTATACAGTGCAGGCAAGACAAAGATAAAATAAAAAGGGCCTTACTGTCAAATTCAATGATATAGAACCACACACTCTGCCACCATGTCCGAGTGCTACGCGGCTTATACTGCAATCGACCCTCCTTGTCTGCCTTTCGCTTGGCCAACTCCCATGTGATGATCAAGGGAGAAGCAACAATCGGAAGAATGATGCAAATGGTTCCGTATGCCCATCGCCAGTTGGTCTCATGGAATTGATTGGATAGGGGTGATCCGGCAAAAGCAGTAATAATATAAGGCGACGAGGTGAAGGCATATGCGATACCACGGTTGCGAAGTGACGAAGTGTCCGATGTGATCACATCAACGCTGAAAATCATACCGGTGAAGCCGACCGTATAGAATGCCTTGAAGAGATGAGCATCTCGACATGTAGAAATTCAGGTTGGAAAAACCGGGCTGGGAGGATTTACCTGCGCAGCACAATAAGTTGTGATATTGTGACAACCCGCCATCATAATAAGACCCATGATGGCAATCAAGACCATGATGGAGATTCCAAGAGTACGATCCCACAGATTCAGGACTTTTGCAATCGGCATCACACATGCAGCGCCCATCACACTCGTCACAACGCTGATGACCGTCAGCAGCGAGTGTTCCGAGAAACCACTTGTAATATACGCCGAGAGGTTGGAGGTTAGATTGTTGTTTAGGCCGTTGACAAAGTATAGCATCCACATGCTGTGAGTTACTTAGCGGGAGATGAGATTAGGGAACACACGAATATTACTCACGAGGCATAAGTTATGATGAGGGATTTCTTGGACCAGGAAGCAGTCACTGCTTCAGCGACTCGAACACCGTCCTGTTGGTCCTGGTTCTCGATAGCCACCTCAGGGGTATCTGAGCCCAGCGGCATCGGATCCTCATTGACCCCAATAGCCGGAGAATCCTTGTGGGTGGTCATTTGGATAAAGACGATCAAAGATACTCTCAATAATCACAAATATATTGATCGATGCTGAATGCCAAAACTGGAATATGGGGCACTTATAACTCCGGCGCATGGCCACTTGATGGTCTCCATCCCGTGGTCTCCCCACTCTGAACTTTGAGAAATTTTTGCGTTATTGCTCTTTGAACGAAATCACTAAGTGATGGAATACGCCTTCCAGTCGATACCACTTCTGGCGTAGAGTGGTGGGACTGTGGCTCTAGACCGACTAATGATTTGAGGCCAGGGGCTTTTACATGAATCCACCAAAGATGTTTACCACTAGGAACTACAACCAAATCCACAAAACAAGTCCCAACAAGCTTTCTGTACAAGCTTTGCAGATGGGCCTGGTGAGCAGATTGTGTATACGCAGGGCTCGTGTGTGTCGCACGCCCAGAAAACCTTCTCAGACTTACTCTTGCACTTGGAATATCGATTGACTCAAGCTACGACTCCGCCTCCACATACGTCTACCGATTGAAATGGTCTCCTCTCCATCCGAAGATATCCGATCAACGAAGTCTGGTAGTCTAGGAGCGTTACGGTCAATCTGGAGACCGGCCTCTTAGCCAATCTCGGCAGTCTTACCGAAAAGAAAAAAGTTGCCTTGAATCCAGAACAGATAAGCAGAAGTGGGCCGAGATAAGATCGAAACCCTCAAGGTGAAACATTGAGAAACCGGTTGAGAGGAATGTTGAAATCGGCATGAAAGGGACCTGATACTTGAAAGTACTCATTCCACTGAGATGGTTCAAGCCTGGTCCCACCATGGGCCATAAATAATTTGATGCTATTTGCCATCTATTCATTCAGACAGTCTTTAGAACAATGCCAGAGCTGTTGTGGCAAAGGGCTTATTGTACGAAGCGAAGCATGTCTTAGGTTCCCTGGAGGAATTGCGACCGAATCATATTAGTCGGCACTAGAGCTCCCCACTGGGGCCAGAATTGGTGAGTTTCGCCAGTTTTAAGAACCCTGAGTCGAAGGCCTGTAGTTGCAAAAGGAGGTTCAAATAATTTGATTTTGAAAAAACTTAGAGTACGGAGTAGCTTCTTTTCACATCATATAGAGTTGGCTTTCATATTTCATCACCAAGAATATTAACATAACATACACAGCTGAATAAAGCCCTTTTAAATCCATGTACTCTTCTGCACAGAAAATGCGATGACTTTGAGAATAATAAATGGCTGCCTAATTCATCCCGCAACTAGTAGACTTGAAAGTTCTGCCATAGATTGATAGAGAGGCCACGGTGGGGACAAAAATGCGATTGATAAGATAAATCTCTCCACTTTTGTAGTTAGCAAGTTAACCGAGTTTGGCGCTCAATCCATTTGCAATTTAATCACCTAACATGACAAAAGGTACACCTCATACCAAGTGGGTACCTATTACTTTCGCATATTTTTACATTCTGGAAAGCGCGGCCAATCTCTGCTGTCTCGACTCCTGGTCTTTCAACTAAACTGAGACGCAGACGTCGTAAGAGATTGTGAGGCTTGGTAGCTTATCCTAAGCGGGATACCCTGGGATTATAGGTATACGCCATGATAATTGCTCGCTTTTAAAGGAAGTAAAAAGAGGGGTGGGTCTAAAATAGTTATATTAGTAGGTCCAGTGCCCTAGTTCAGGATCTGTGAGGAACAGTGTCATATTCACTGACTGAGTGTGGTTTAGGGAGACCTAATACAGGTCATAGTACATAATCAACACCAATCCTCCCCTGACCTGTAGCCTTAATCCGTGTCCGTTTGAGATAATATATTAGAGTAGAGTATTACATTACACTGAATACAGACGCGTTGCAGACTTTTATGCCATTACTACGTGTGAATAAAATACAGATTTATGTATTTTACAGTATAGCAAATAATATATATCAGTGGCGGTTCCGAACACCCACCGCCTTCCGCCGGTGGGTGTTCGGCAGCCTAAAGGAATTTTCAGCGTAAAGGAAGATAATCAATTTTCTATCTTTTTGAAGCTATACAAACCATAAAAAATGCCCAAAATATCTAAAATTTCAGATTCACGTGTAGATGAAGCTATTGAAGCTGTCTATCTTGAAAAAAAGCCTAATATTGCAAAAATCGCGCGAGAATTCGGGATCCTATATTGTACACTCCATAGCCGTATTTATGAAAGAAGAAAGTCTCGTACAGCTTAAAATATACTAAATAAAGCGCTAAATAAGTATCAAGAGACTGCCTTAAAGCAATAGATTGCTAAAATATATAATATTTATCTTCCGGTGACTATATCATTGCTTTTAGAGTGGGCAAACCTTACTGTACAGCGCGATAATCCTACACAGAGTGTCAGTCGATTATGGGTATATTGTTTTTTTAAAAGACTTTCTCCTGATCTTAAATTAAGCCCTGTAATTCAAAGGCCAAAGGAGAAGAAGCGTCTAGATACAGAGAATATCGGACAGCTTCAATTCTGGTATATTCAGCTTACCAACTTGCTTAAAGATATTCCTGCTCGCCTTGTATATAACTTTAATAAATGCGGCTTTCAACCAGGTAGTAGAAAGCCTCAAAAAGTACTTAGTACAAAGGAAAGAGTTCCTAATCTTTCTGAAACTGAGCATGCAGAGAATATTACTGTGCTTGAGTATATTGCTGCAGATAGCTGGATTATAACTCCGCTCTTTATCTTTAAAGGGAAGAAATTTATAGAGGCCTGGTATAATAAAGTAATTCCTGATTATTATACTACAGTCACCGATAAAGGCTATATAAACAATAAAATCGTGCTTGAATAGCTTCAAAGATTCCATAAGGAGATTAAAGATTATACAAGAAAAGGAGAAAAATGTATACTTCTCTTCGACAGCTATACAGCTTATAAAACAGTTGAATTTCTTTAACTCTGTGAGATATATAAGATTCTTCTCTTTTATTTTCGATTTTATACAACACATCGCTGTCAACTGCTTGATAGAAAGCCCTTTCTTATATATAAAATATACTTTCGCAGTACAAATAATCATATTGTACAGTGGTGTGGAGTCCCGGGAGATAAAGCACATTTTCTATATAATATTGTTGCTGTATATGAGAAGACTTTTACTCTACACCTTATTTGTAACTCTTTTAAAGAACGCGGTATCTTTTCTCCAGATAGATCTTCAATTATTGAAAATATTTAGAAGATTTTACTATCTTTATCAGAGATCTCTGCACCTGATTTATATATATATGGAGAGACTACACTGCCTCCAAATTCTCAGTCTTTAAGTATTGAGAATATACCTCCAAAAAGTACTCAGCAAGTTGAAAAGAATCAGAAAAAGCTATTTAAGCTTCTAAATAATGATATATCAAACAATCCTTGTATTGAGTGCTATCTTGACCGCTTATTTTATTAACAAAAGCTTCAATCTGAATAGCTTGCTATTATAAATTTAACTCTTATATAAATTGAGGCTACACAGATATTCTGAAGCCGTAAAAAGTCTAAGCAAGAGATTCAATATCTTGGAGATAGTGGTATACTGCGTGTAAAGGATACGAATCGGTCTATTACAGACAGGAAGGCCAAAGATAATAAAAAAAATAAGAAAGCAGCGGATAAGGCGTATTTCAAAGCGTACGGCCACCTCCCGCCAGCGCCTTATATAGAAAATGAAACTATAGCTTCAGATACAGGATTGGCAGAGGAATCGGGTGATCAGCTTTATTTTATTGATTCTACAGGTGTTTAGTGGTGATAATATAAATTGCTTTATTTTCTTCCTTTACGCTGAAAATTCCTTTAGGCTGCCGAACACCCACCGGCGGAAGGCGGTGGGTGTTCGGAACCGCCACTGATAGTTAATCAGAAAGGAACCAGAGCCTTGTCCACCCCACCATTTTGGCTGCGCGCAGCTAAAATAGTGGGGTTGAACAAGGCTACTCTGTTCAAGCTCGTATTCACTTGTGTAAGTAGTACTACTGAGAGTCAGCAGTCCAGTGCGTTGGCTTTACCACACGTTTAGAAAATAAGTTCATCTATAAGTAGAAATATAACCCGGCAGATAACAAGAAGAGGCTATCGAATAACTTCCAAGTGTCGCAGGCCTAGAACGGATGGAAAGAAGAGTATTCACTCTCCTCACACTCCTTCAGCTTCTGCAGAAACATATTCAATCCGCCTAGAAAGATATACACAGACCGTGGCTTACCATCCACATTCACGCCATTAAAGTACGATGCTGCTGTTCTAAACAGCGCCGCCTCGTTGATAGCATTGCACAATCCACCCCACGCGGCTTCCCCTTCCTCTGTGGATTCAATTACTGTCTTAGCAGGAGCCGGCGAAGTACTCCGCTCCCCGTGATGCTCTTCCGCACGCGATATAGCCCCGGTGATGAACTCAACGTGGGCTTCAATGGCCGGGGGTACATTAGTCAGGGGAGCCTGAGGCCCAACTATCATAAAGAGATTCGGAAATCCTGCTGTTGCAACAGCCATATTCGTGGTCGGTCCGTCTTTCCAGTGTTCTTTCAATGCTTTCCCTCCCCGCCCGACGATATTAATTTTTCTATAAGCCTCGTCGAATGCATTAAACCCCGTAGCACAAATAATGACATCCAGCGTGTGTTCAGTCCCATCGGCCAGCTTGATCCCATTGCGGGTAAACTCGAGCATGGGATTCTCCGCGATGTCAACGACATCGACGTTCTCCCGGTTGAATTGCTCGTAGTAGCCATCGACACAGACCGGTCTGCGGGCGTAGAGTTCGCTCGGGATTAGTTTGCGGCGCTTTTCTGGATTCTGCACAATCTGGTGGATTTTATTCTTCAGGAATTCGCATGCCGTTCGGTTGGATTCTTCATTGAGAATTAAATCATTGAATGTACCCAGGAGGAATCGAAATGCTCCTCCATCGTCCCAGGCGGCTTGGTAGATCCGCTCGCGCTCCTCATCCACGACACTCAACGCACTCGCCTTGGCCTCTTCGACGCCCATTCCTCCAATCTCTTGTCTTACTTTCTGCCAAATCTCATCGTAGGCCTTGTTAATCGCATCGCGCTCCTCCTGTGAGACGGCTCGTTTGCCAGCGGGAACGATGTATTGGGGATGTCGTTGGAAACAGACCAAGGACTCGACATCCTGGACAATTGCAGGGATCACTTGCACACCGGATGATCCATTCCCAATCACTCCGACCCTCTTACCTTTCAGATCATACTGATCGGGCCACCGAGCAGTATGGTACAGACTGCCCTGGAACTGGTCCCGCCCAGGGATATTCGGCCAATTCGGCTCCGTGATAATACCGAGAGACGTGATGAGATAGCGAACTGTGAAAGAACCCTGGCTAGATTCTACAGTCCACCTACAATTGTCTTCGTTCCATATCGCGGAGACAACCTCCGTATGAAACTGCATATACCTGCGCAAGTCGTGGCGGTCCACAACATGTTCCAGGTAGGCGAGAACCTCCTTCCTTCCCAGATAATTATGGGACCAGGGATACGATTGAAGGTCTTCCTTATCCCAGGAATAGCGATACAGGTGGGAGGGGGTATCACTTGTCGCGCCCGGGTAGCGGTTCCAATACCATGTTCCTCCGGGTCCTCCGGCTCTTTCCACCAGCTTCACTGTCAGGCCAAGCTTGAGGAGGGAGTATAGTTGGTAGATTCCGCCAAATCCGGCACCAATGACCAGTGCGTCGTATAAATGTGTGGACATGGTAATGTGTGTGGGGGTTCTGACGACCAAAGTGACTGAGTAATTAATTGCAAGACTCTCTGCGTGTCCGCTCTGAGGTGTTGCAGCTCAAGAAATGATTTCTCTAATGAAGTTGCTCGGCGATTCTATACGGTGCATTGAAAATGTCTTGAAATTGCTAGCTATACGGCTGGTGCCTCGGAAGTTTTTATAGAACAATAGGTTTGGCCCCCATCCATTGCAGACGGAGCACCCAATCAGAAGAACGTTACAATAGAATCAGCCAATACTGGCAATTCTTCAATCAACCGTTGAATGAGTTCCGTCCTTCTATCCGACAGTAAGATGGCAGTGTTGCTAGACCTAATTAGGAAATAATTTGGCATCTCCTCTGGTTGGTTTGGTCGCCTATGCCAAATTATACTAGATTTTCGATTGAGAACACTACTATTGTCTTCAGAAGATCATATCGCTGGACCAATGTATTTTGTTTGAAATTTATTATATATAGAAGCTTTATATTTATCGATTTTCTAAGGACAGAAATATGAAAGAGCTATTATAATCTACACTTTAATCGAAAGTTGTACTTCAGTAGAACTGTACAACTTTCGACCCTTTCGGGGAAAGTAAGTGTAGATCGGCTGATTCATCGTAGCGTTGATCCTGTGAATGCTTCAAGCCATCGAACCTACTAATCCGCGATATCTACGAACTGATTAAATCGCAATGATATATGTTGGCAGGAGATTCCTGCCGCTACGCAGTCCCACAAAAGGATTGATACCTAGGCCTCAGATAGCTTACATAACCACAAATTCAAGCATTCATTCATCAGCTCTGATTATTGCATAGAAAATATATTCTCTTAGTACAGTTCGAGTTGAAAAACATCGCGATTAAAGATATAGCATTTTTTTCTAGGTTCTTTTTGTTAACTATGAAATTGCCAACCTATTTAATGTTTCCGTTATTCAACTGAATATAAAGTATATATTTTTTATTCTATCATTAGAAAAAGAAGTCCCTAAATAGACTCTGCGATTGAGCTATACAGCTTTGGAAGAATTAGAAGTTGAGTTGATGAAAGCTGGGATTATAGAAGTTGGGTTAATTGGAAATCCCACCCAAGTTCAGATATTTTGGACTTTGACCTTGTTAGGGTTCGAAGGATCTATACGGCAAGCCATTGCGGCCAACGCACATTAATTCATTTTCCTAAATTTTTAACTTGATCCTGCTGGAAGAATAGTCTCCTATACTGAATCTACTTAAATTGCTTACTTAGTCTACTTAATCTGCTTAGTCTGCGTAGTCTACTTAGTCTAATTATATAGTCACATGACTGTGAATTACTGAACTAATTAAATTCATGCTTAGTAATAACTAATCAAAGGCAGCCAGCTAAGCGGCGGTAAAAGAACTTGGCGAAAAAAGGATAAAAAAGAGGAACTATAGGAAAATGAATTAATGCGCGTTTAGTCGCAATGGCTTGCCGGAATCTAAGCCCCAAAGTTCCAGTTGTCATGGCTTCCTATTGGATTACCAGTAAATACGACCCACTACTACCGAGATAAACCTACTCTTACTCCTTACAACTTAGTGCAATGACATTGGCTTGAGGAAATGTATAAGTGCGGCGACGTGTAAATAATCACATTCCTACTACTCCATACTCTATGAGACGGCGAAGACGGTGGACAGAATCTCTATGTTCTTCTCCAACAATCGCAATTACCCCTTGTATTCATTATCTACCAGAATATGACCTTAACCACCGAGACAATCATAGCGCTCATAGCGCTCTTTGTCGCTTGTGTCCCTGGGATCCGGTTTATAATCAGTCATAAACCCGAGATATGCCAGTGGTGGAGCCGAGATCGAGGTACGAAGTTTCCACTGCTATAAATGATTATTTATTGTGAGTGTACACTAATTTAAAGCTGGCCTTCTAGGTTGCGAGGATCTCGAGAATCCCCATTCAAGTTCGGCTCCTTCTGTTGAGAACCATTCCCTGTCCCATGATGTATTCGACCATCCTCCGAACGAAATATATCAACTCAAGTTCATACATTCCTTTGTGCAGAGATTTCAGAGCCCTAATCGACGGACATTACCACAGAGACTCGAAGCCGGTCTTCTTTTCTATACACAAGTAGGTCATTTTGACTCATGGATGCCACGCACTAGCTAATGGCGGCAATGGGTTTTATAGACTATTAGCACCGATCATCTCGAGGAGAACGAACCATTGACTGGTGGTGCCAATGATAATGATAATTTGCCTGTAATTGAATAGCATCGGCAGCCATAGGGCAATCTACACCTCTGTCTGAAGCTTATGTTAGGGTTCTGCTTATATGGAATGGGGAATTTTGTCATTGTTGTTCCGGTTGTTGTATACTATTGGCTTATAGATTTCGGGTTATCTTAAAATATTTTGTCATTTACAGTTCCTTTTACTCTTCTCACATTGGCTGTTGATACTTAGAGACATGCTGCAGTGCGACATCTTGATATCATTTGAAAGTATACAATATATAGATTGTTGAAACTGCTGTACCCTCTCTTTCTATTCCCATCATGATTCAGGCCGCAGGTAGTTAGAATATCTATATACAACCTAAAATACTCTTTCGTATTTAAGGATGAGCAATATGAGAAATTTAAGTATCTGTGCTTCGATGATGCAGAAAGATGGCTGTTATTCTAACACATTCTATAGCTTACTGGTAAACCATTTTAGGGCAATGAACCACATCGTTAACTAGACAACCCCTTCGGAACAACAGCAACCCGGAGACGGGCTACACAAGGATTGCAACAAATTAGGACAGTACCGTTCTGGAAGCGAATAAAGCTGCCCGAAGAAGTCGGTTTTTATTGTTTGTTCGGCGTATCTCCACTGCAGCTTACAGTGCACATAATATTGTGAAGCCTATATAAGAGCCATGAAGCATAGATTTAAGCGGGGGGATGATATCCATGACATTACGGCAGACTAGATCTAGCCAACAGACAGTCCGGAAACTTTACCAAGTTCACTAACGGTATATAGCAGCCAATAAATTTATTCCCTAGCTTTCACTATATCATCGACCAATTATAATAGCATAAATATTCGGGATATTGACGTAGTCCACCTTCCGATTATATTTACCGCTTTAAATTCTATCTTTAATCCTTTGGGCGCCGTAGCCCTAAAGTTCAGGTTCTACGGCCGCTAACATGAGGCACCGTGACCTCTGAGCTTAGGGACTATAGTTTCTAGGCTAGACCCTTCACATGAATAGTTCAATTGTGACGTCTAAGGAGCAAAGACCACACACTTCCCAATACCATTGTGCTCTGCCCCTTTGTCAAAGCCATCTTTCCAATCTTCGAGCTGGAAAACCTTCGTTTCCACGAAACCTTTGCCTTGAGGGAAAAGACCGCTTTGCAGCATCTTCACAAAGCTTACTACGGCCTCTCGTTCATACATCATTTTTCCTTTAGAAGAATGAAAGATCAGTAACAGTACAGCAACGTGTCCAAGGCAAGACTCCCACCTTTCAAAGTGATGTTGTTAACCAAGATTTCCGGAACCGCAATGTTCTTAGTGGAGCCCATAATACTAATCCTCCCACCACGGCGCAGTGCTTTTATTGCGCTTCTCGTGTGTGTTGATATGGACGCCGCTGACGGCGTATATCCAAAACAGCGTCAATAGTGCCATGGGATTTTAGCGCAGACACATCCTGATCTTCATTTCCTGTTATTTGAACCGTCTCAATGTTCGCCCCAGGCGACCTGCTTCTGATGTCATCCTTTAATTTTACTAGCTTTTCCTGGTTTCGACCCATCGCAATTACCTTCGCACCCATCGCAATCGCGACTTGCACACCCAGGCTACTGTAGAAGCCAGTTGCCGGGCATATGATAATTGTATCGCCAGGCTCCACCTTAATGTCCCTAAGCCCACCATACGGTACCAGCAGAAATGCTATATACGCTAGGTCCTGGAGTGAATATCCTAAATCATCACACAACCTTGCTTTATCAAGTGGAATACAGTTCTCTAAAGGCACCTTGGCGTGTTCTGCGAACGTTCCATCGGCGCCAGGCATCCCGCATCAGTTTTTTACTGCCATCAGTTGCCCCTTCATAGATAGCAGACAAGAAAAAGCATTCTGGATCGTCGCGTGCACGTATAACGCAATCAACATAGACAAGTTGTCCGGGTTTCAAAGCCGTCGCATCAGATCCGACAGCAGCGACATGGCCGATAGCGTCAAAACAACCTACTAGTGGCGTTGGAAATGGCATAGGACGCTTGCCATTGTAGGTCTCACGGTGATAAGGTAGGATTCCAGCTGCGGCAATGCGGACAACAGCGCTACCGGGACCTGGTTGAGGCGTTGCCAGGGTTTTAACCTGGAAACCGGAGTCACGACTGTCGAGGACAAGGGCGCGGTGCTCAGAGGGGAGAGATTGAGGCATTGGAGACTGGGGAAGAAGCGATTGGAAAATAGTGACAAGTGATACTCTGCCACAGTGTAAATATTGTCGTTGGGTGTTTGGGGAGGGCGACTTGGACGCGAGGTCTAGAACGATGGGGTGCTCCGCTCAATTGCAGATTAGAAATCATTTCCTGACAGCGGCCGAGGCGATAGTGCAGCTGAATTTCACCAGCCTTTCGTTCCCCCAAAAGTTTCTTTTTTTTCCCCCCTCCTCCAGTGTACATTAGTAATTGGGATTATTTGGTAAGGATTTGGTATTTAAACTATTGGGAACAGAGAAATTGGCCGTTGATAGTTAGTGTGACTTTTAGTTCATACAGTTCTGGTGATAAATGCGACAACAATTTAGCTGGATCATAAAACTTGTCAATCAGTTATAGTCCAGTATAATAGACTCTATTTAGCATGTCACTTCTTCAGGATTCATATTTACCCCACATTGGTTGATCCAGTTTTATGTCGCTAACGAATCGGCGCCCGACACCGATTACCACTCTGTTTTTCTATGGTTTTCTAATCGATATTAGTGCTGTCAAAACGTTTGTTCAGATCAGATTGTCTATATTTGTTTACAGATACTCTGACTGTAGTATTATCTGATCTCACTTATTTATTTATTTATTTATTTAATCAAGTTTAACGTCCATATGGAGCCAATCGGCTATGACAGACACATGCGTCTAGGCAGTGGTCTAGGCCACT